GGCCTTACTCTTCCATCTCTGAATTTTCTCTTCCCAAGGACATTCTCATTTTTAAAAGAGAAGCCTCTTTACTCCCCAAATAAAATTATCCTAGGAAAATTTTAGCATAAAATATACTGGGGCTGGGAAGTTGATCCAGCACTCCCCAGGAACCCCTCCGGGCCAGCCACCCAATCCACTGCATGGAAGGGTGAGCGCGGCCACCTTGTCCCTGAGCAGAGGTGCGGCCTCCTCTCACCCTCATAGACATGTACTGGTAATTCCCAGGCAGCGGGTCAGCTAGCCACCCCACAGATGGGGAAGGGCTGTCCTCCCTCTCTTTGGAGAGTATTTATCCCTGGGCGGGAGAGCTTGTCTGTGATGAAAGGGCTATCCTAGCTGCTGGATACAGAAACTCCGTATCTCTGGGGATTCCAGGAGCTTCCCACACGCCACACGTCGGGGTGGCCTATGAATATTCGGTACCTCACAAAATTCCCAACATTGAAACGCACACCTTCAAAACACATGGCCTTTCAGGGACCATGTCACCGCTTACCGTAAATATGCGTAGAGTAGCAGAAAGAAGATGATTTGTTTAAAACTTCAGAATAACTTAAATACCCCACTGCTGATAACAGAGACGGAAGACTAGAGAGCTTTTCACGGCTAGTCCTTCAAATGTCACAAACAAGCGTTGTTACTTAGAGAGCTTTCACCAGCCTCTTCTCCAGGCTAGTTCAAATATGTGCAAAATGGCTGTGAGGCTCTGACTTGTGTGTCAGTGCAAGGGGTGCTTGGAAACCTTCTGCTAAGTCGATGATACTGCAGGGCACAGGCAGTTTACAAAAGACTTTAGCAAATTTCATTTGATCCAGAAGGGGTGGGAGTCATCATCCCCTCCCCACACATGCCTCTTTGTTTGCTTTTGTTTTTGTTTTAACAGATGAGGGAATTAGGGCTTAGAAGGATGACTTATTTTTCTGGGATTGCATAGGAACCAGCGCCAGCGGAGCCCCACCTCCCGGCCTCTCGTCCCGGCCACCTCCAAGCTCCTGGAACTCAAAGACTCCTGACAACAAACTTTCCCCCCATTTATGTTCTGCCCAACTGGAAAGGGTCTACGTGCAATCTGAGACCTCTGTGCTATTTTCCTTTATTTGATTCCAGGCAACACAGACGTTGAGTGCCGGCTGTGGGTGGCCCCGGCATGGTGATAATTTATGCAATCACGTTAAGGAGGACGGATTGCCTCCTGCGGTTCCAGCTCTTGGCTTTAGGAGGTGCTCAGGAGATGCGTGGAAACTCATTCAGGAAGGTCATGGTCCCGCACGTGCGTGGCCAGTGTGGGCGCCCTGGTGGTGGAGAAACGTGCGCGAATGCTGCAGGCAGGTGGTTCTGGAAGCTGACTCAGTGGCCATCCCTCTAATGACCTGTCCTGAAGGAGAGGCAGCGTCCCCGCCCCCTGAGAGAAGGGGTTTGCGGAACTGAGTAACAGAGTTACACCCACAATCCTAAGAGCCCTTATCTGCCCAGGTTTTCCTGCTCTGTCTAATTGGCTTGGTCAGTCACCATGGGAGGGAGCTGGGCCCCAGGGGCCCATGCTTGGCCTTCCCTCCTACTTGGATCCCAGTTCCCTGACGGCAGGTTCAGAATACCTGCCGCTGAGAGACAGGGCAGCTGCGCTCAGACTGCGTTTGTGAGGGGTGTGGCCTGAGGTCTTAGGCTGGGGCTGATCCTGTGGCCCACCCCTCCTGCATCCACCCAGGAGTAAAGGGGGCGGGGACCAGACCCATGTGAGCTTGGATTTCTCCACACCTGCAGGGTCTCACCTAGGGCTTGGCCCAAACCCAGAAGGTGCCATTCCGCTGTGCCCAAGAATGGGACTGACCTGCCGCTTCAGACGCAGGCTTTGCATGGCCAAAGACCAGGGGCACAGCTTAAGATGGTCATGAGGTGACAGGAATCCCTGGCCTTCCCGCTTCCTGGAGAAGTTCTGCAGGGTCAGGCAATATCTCCTTGGGTTCCCCTGGGTTCCTGTATTTGCTTCTCCCCACCCAGAGAGCTGTTTTCTCAAAGACCTTGTCTCTTCATTCAGCCAATTCCAGAATGGGGTCACAGGTCGCCCACGTGACAGTCAGCAAGCTGTGAGCACCCCAGTCTTTTTCTCTCCTTCTCTGCATCCTACCGGCACCTGCGCAGATGAAGCACCGAAGCATGCAGCTCACCTTCCTCCCCGCCTCCCCCGCTGCCAGCCCCCCACCACATCTCACAGGCCCTGCCCCTCTGCCGCTGGGCAAGACAGGATGGGGAGCTGGCACGGCGCACGCGCTCCCACCGCCTGCACCCCAGGGGACGTGTTAATCCCTCTCGACACCTTCCTTCTACTTAATGACTTGTAAACTGCTTACATTTGGGCATGTTTCACTTTTCTTTCCCTCCCCTTGTCCTTTGCCACAACAGGAAGAAATGGCTCCCATAGGCCTCCGTTGGTGCTGTGTTCCTGCAAAGGGGAGCTCAGTCTTCTGCGGGCAGGCAGCACTTTCCCACCTGAAAACCATGCTGCCTTAAAACAGGCTTCCTGAAAAGATGGTGTAGAGATCCTGATATTTCCAGCAAGAAGGAAAATGTCACCTGGAGAGGTTTCACTGTAGGGAATTAGGATCACAAGACTAAGGACTTGGCTGCTGACTCAGAGTCACACCAAGACCCTAGACCCCCAGGACCACAGCCTTACACTGCTGTCTCCACTGCGCTGTCTGGCAGGGTGGCAAGGACAGAGGCGTCCCTAAGGCAGGCCGTGCTCACATCCCCTCGTCCTCCGTGGGCCCCAATGCTACACTCTCCAACCCAGGGCTGTCTTTTACTCCTGCCCCCAACTCACACATCTACCCCAGAGCCTCTTCCAGGCATGAAGCCAGGGACCTGCAGCTGCTGTGCCCGGGGCATCCCCATGGCAGGTGTGGATGCTTTGTGCAGGATTCAGGGGCCATGTCCAGCCCCACAATGGCCTTAGGATTTCCTCCAAGTAGAGTAGACAAGGGAGATGAGGAAGATGGCGGCTGGTGCAGGGAGCTGGTGCTTGCGCAGGTTGTTGAGATGCAGCCTCCCAGACCTTCTCTGTGCTGATTGGAAACCGCAAATGGCTCAGGCGCAACGGCTTAACCATTTCTAGCAATGTCAGTGACGCTATGACAGATCATGAGATGAAAGGACAAATGGCCATCCTGGTGGCTATTGACAGATGAGAACATTGCAAGTGTGGTATCTTGGTGTGGGGTGCCCCATCCTCTGTAGCTGCTGATGACGGCTATCGCAGACGCTGTCAAGCAGGAGACCACCCTGGCTGTGCACATGCTTCAAAGCATAGGTGTGGATGTGGTTTTGAGCATGGGGGACAACCGGAGCACGGTGGCCAGAGCCATTGCCACCCACGTTGGCATCAACAAAGTCTTTGCAGAGGTGCTGCCTTCGCACAAGGTGGCCAAGGTTCAGGAGCTCCCACACAAAGGGAAGAAAGTCACCATGGTGGAGGATGATGGGGTGAATGACGCCCCGGCTTTGGCCCAGACAGACATGGGCATTGCCATTGGCACCAGCACGGATGTGGCCATCGAGGCAGCCGACATCATCCTCATCAGAAATGGCTGGCTAGACGTGGTAGCTGGCATTCATCTTTCCAAGAGGACCGTCCAGAGAAGATGCACATCAGCCTGGTCTGGCACTGATTTATAAGCTGGCTGGGATACCCATCGCGACGTGGTGGCTGGCATTCACCTTTCCAAGAGGACTGTCTGGAGGATACGCATCAGCCTGGTCCTGGCGCTGATTTACAAGCTGGCTGGGATACCCATCATGGCAGGTAGTTGGTTCCTCTCCTGAAGGAGTGAGCTTTCCAGATGAGTTGAAGATACGTGCATGCACGGGAGATGACGGCTCACTGCAGGGCAAGGCATCATCCGTGTTGAAGGAGTGCCAGTGTTTCGGAAATGGACACAGAGCAGGTACATTTGATGGAGAGGTAAGAGGATCACTGTCTACGTGCCAGTGCTGTTCTAAGTGCCCTGGATCTTCTGGGAACAAGGTTAGCCTTTTTCAGTTGTACATGGGACGATTGAGGATCATGCTAGGCAGAGGTGAGCCCTTTCGTGGAAGGAGTTAATCTAAAAACCATAATCTGTCTCATTTGGGAGGAGCTAAATAAATATCTCTTCAATGAAGTAAAAGTCAATCAGAAAATGTGTATTTTAGCTATAAAATTACCTACCAGAATTTACCATGGGGCATAATCTTAGTCAAGCACCCAAATTGATGATTTCAGACCACAGATACTGAAACACCAATGGGATAAGGTGGCAGGTATTTCAGTTAGCTACTGCTGCATAACAAATGACCCCAAAGCTTAGTGACTTAAAACCATGGTTTGTTATTCTTTATCATTCTGTCAGCTGGGAGGTTCTTCTGCTGGCCTCATGCACAAGGCTACATTTAGCTAGGATGTCAGCTTGTGGATGGGCATAGCTGGGATGCTGGGTCACCTGAGTCTTTCTCCCCATGTGGTATTGTTTTAAAATACAGGTTTTAGAGCTGCCTCAGGATGTAAAGTGTAACGAGGTGGCCGGGGTGGGCCGGGTGCCTGCGTCCCCAGCTCCCCCCGCAGCTGGCTCCGCAGTGGTCCGCTCCACTTGCCAGGTGGGGATCCGGGTTCCAGATGGAATGCTGCGCGTTCTCCACCGTTTGTTGTGGCTACGGTTACTGCAGCAACCGCCAGAGCAGCCTTGGCGCTACGGAGGAGCCAGGGGCTACCCCTCAGCCGTAGTTGAAGCTGATCCTGGAGTGCGGAGGAACCAGGGGTTACCCCTCAGCGGTACCTGGGACTGATCCCGGAGTGCGGAGGAGCCAGGGGCTACCCCTCAGCGGTACCTGGGACTGATCCCGGAGTGCGGAGGAGCCAGGGGCTACCCCTCAGCGGTACCTGGGACTGATCCCGGAGTGCGGAGGAGCCAGGGCTGATCTGATCGTGGAGTGCGGAGGAACCAGGGGCTACCCCTCAGCCATACTCGGGGCTAATCCTGGAGTATGGAGGAGCCAGGGGCTACCCCTCAGCCGTACCTGGGACCGATCCCGCAGTTGCCACACAGGGTTGTGGCAGCACTGACTGAAGGTATGAGAACAGATTCTCATCCTTATGGTTTTCCATGGGAATTGGTGATACATGCAGCTGTTGTTGGATTTTTTGCTATTCTCCTTTTTCTGTGGCGAACTTTTAGATCGGTTAGGAGTCGGCTTTATGTGAGAAGAGAGAAAAAACTTGCTGTGGAGCTTTCTGGACTAATTGAAGACAAATGTAAACTACTCGAAATATTTAGCCTTGTTGAAAAAGAGTATGAAGACTATGAAGTAGAGTCATCTTTAGAGGATGCCAGCTTTGAGAAGGCGGCAGCAGAAGCACGAAGTTTGGAGGCAACCTGTGAAAAGCTGAACAGGGCAAATTCTGAGCTTGAGCATGAAATACTCTGTCTAGAAAAAGAGTTAAAAGAAGAGAAATCTAAACATTCTGAACGAGATGAATTGATGGCGGATATTTCCAAAAGCATACAGTCGCTGGAATATGAGTCAAAATCCCTCAAATCACAAGTAGCTGAAGCCAAAATGACCTTCACGACATGTCAAATGAACGAAGAACGACTGAAGATAGCAACAAAAGATGCTTTGAATGAAAATTCTCAACTTCAACAAAGCCAGAAGCAGCTTTTGCAAGAAGGTGAAGTATGGAAAGAACAAGTGAGTGAACTTAATAAACAGAAAATAACATTTGAAGACTCCAAAGTACATGCAGAACAAGTTCTAAATGACAAAGCAAATCACATCAAGACTCTGACTGAACGCTTGCTAAAGATGAAAGATTGGGCTGGGAGGCTTGAAGAAGACATAACGGATGATGATAACTTAGAAGTGAACAGTGAATCGGAAGATGGTGCTCACTTAGATGATCCTTCAAAAGGAGCTTTGAAGAAGCTGATCCATGTAGAGTTAAATGCTTCTTTAAAAACCTTAGAAGGAGAAAGAAACCAAATTTATATTCAGTTATCTGAAGTTGATAAAACAAAGGAAGAGCTTACAGAGCGTATTAAACATCTTCAGACTGAACAAGCATCTTTGCAGTCAGAAAACACACATTTTGAAAGTGAGAATGAGAAGCTTCAACAGAATCTTAAAGTAATGACTGAATTATATCAAGAAAACGAAATGAGCCTCTACAGGAAATTAATAGTAGAGGAAAAAAGGCGGTTAGAGAAAGAAGAGAAACTTTCTAAAGTAGACGAAATGATGAGCCATGCCACTAAAGAGCTGGAGACCTATAGACAGCGAGCCAAAGATCTTAAAGAATTTGAGAAAACTATTCCTTTTTATCAAAGGAAGACTATTTCCCATGAGGAAAAAGCACGTCATAATTGGTTGGCAGCTCGGGCTGCTGAAAGAAACCTCAGCAATTTAAGGAAAGAAAATGCCCACAACAGACAAAAATTAGCTGAAACAGAGTATAAAATAAAGCTTCTAGAAAAGGATCCGTATGCACTTGATGTGCCAACTACGGCATTTGGCAGAGAGCGTTCCCCATATGGTCCCTCACCATTGGGTCGGCCTTCACCTGAAACGAGAGCTTTTCTCTATCCTCCAACCCTGCTGGAGGGTCCACTCAGACTCTCACCTCTGCCTCCAAGGGAAGAAAGAAGAGGCTCAAGAGGCCCAGGGAATCCTCCGGACCATCAGATTGCCAATGAAAGAGGAGAATCAAGCTGTGAGAGGTTAACCCGTCCTCACAGGGCTCCTTCTGACACTGGGCCCCTGCCATCTCCGTGGGAACAGGACCGTAGGATGATGTTTCCTCCACCAGGACAGTCATATCCTGATTCAGCTCCTCCTCCCCAAAGGGAAGACAGATTTTATTCCAACTCTGCTAGGCGCTCTGGACCAGCAGAACTCAGAAGTATAAATATGCCTTCTTTGGATAAAATGGATGGGTCAATGCCTTCAGAAATGGAATCCAGTAGAAATGATATCAGAGATGATCCTGGGAATTTAAATGTGCCTGATTCATCTCTGCCCACTGAAAAAGAAGCAACTGGCCCTGGCTTTATTCGTCCACCTCTTGCTCCAATCAGAGGTCCATTGTTTCCAGTGGATACAAGAGGCCCGTTCATGAGAAGAGGACCTCCTTTCCCCCCACCTCCTCCAGGAACCAGGTTTGGAGCTCCTCGAGATTATTTTCCACCAAGGTATTTCCCAGGTCCACAACACGCTCCATTTGCAACGAGAAACGTCTATCCACCGAGGGGTTTTCCTCCTTACCTTCCCCCAAGACCTGGATTTCTCCCCCCACCCCCACATTCTGAAGGTTGAAGTGAGTTCCCTTCAGGGCTGAGTCTGCCTTCAAAGGAGCCTGCTACTGAACATCCAGAACCACAGCAAGAAACCTGACAATATTTTTGCCCTCTTCAACAGTCATTTTGACTGATCTCATTTTCAATTTTAAGTAACGGCTGTTACTTAAGTGATTACACTTTTGCTCAAATTGAAACTTAATGGAATTATAATTCTCAGGATAGTATTTTGTAAATAAGGATGATTTACATATGAATCTTATGAATAAATTGTTTTCATTTTATTTTATTCTAAATAGTATAATTATTTTAATTTGACTAATCTACTATTATATAAAAATAGTGGGAGTTTTATATACGTAATCTTGCAGGTGGGGAGGCTTTACATTCTAAAGGCCTTGTCTTTTGCCAAGAACTGTATTTACTGTGACTATAGACAAGTGTGTAAGTAACTTTATACTTAATTAAATACATTTTAGTTGATTTAATAAATAAAAAAAAAAAGAAAGAAAGAAAAGGGAGGTGAGAAGACAGAGGCCAAGCACCATGTGGACTTAGGTGCTGGACGCATAGCGTGCTCATGCTCAGGGCTGGGGCCACTCTCTCATTCTTGTGCCCCGGGTTGAAGCACACAGCAAGGACAGACCCAGACACCAGGCATTGAGTCAGTTCATGGGAGGGGCCGACCGTTCCGACCTCAGGCTATGCTGAAGGTCCCCAGAGTCCCGGGCCCTTCTGTCCACAGCCTCATCAGGGTGAGCTCTTGGCTTCAGTTCCCACACAAGCATAGATGCCAACAGCAGCATTGTGTGGGATCCCGGAAAACGGGCCCAGCTTGCGGATCTGTAGGTGAAGACTCACCAAATTCTGAGTTGTTGCAGCTTAGAATATAGTGCAGACATCAGGATAATCGTTTGGATCTCTCAACAAGAAAGGGATTTTATAAGATGGCAAATACTATAAAATGTGTTAAATAGCAGAGTAAAAAGGCTGAATAGAGAATAGGAGATTGAGATTAGAGAAGAACAGGGAATAGCAGTTATAGGAGGCGCCAGACATATAAAAATGCGAGCACGTGAGAAGCCGTCATAACTTTATTCTTTTAATCACTGAGGGGAAGTGTTTTTTGTCCAATTTTCCTATCAAGTTTTCATACCACTTTTATAACCGAACAGCGTTTTCTAGTGATGGAAGGAAACAGTCCCCAAGCCAGTCCCAGGCAGTGGCGTCTTGCGTGGTTAATCCTGAGTGGGGTGGCTTGGCTGGATCCTGGTTTTAGGCTGACATTCTGCATGAATCCAGATGACCTCCTGGCTCCTGGCAGTCTGGCCTGCTCGGCGTGGATTGGGGGTGTCCTTTCCTGGCCCTCGGAGGGATGTGATAATGCTGAGGTGTCTGCACGAGCGGAGGCAGAGGGCATGCGCCATAAACGGTCACTATGGTCATGAACACGATCAGGGGCTGGGGTTGCTGGCAGCATTAGTTCCATGGGTGTACTCCTTATCTGAGGTGCATCGTTTTTTTGTTAAGTTAAAATATATTGTCTTTGTATAAGTTTTCGAGGGCTGCCATTATTAAGAACCACAGCCTCGGTGACCTAAACAGCAGGAGTTTGTCGTCTCCGTGGCCTGGATGTCCGACGTCCGAGATCAAGGTGCTGCAGGGCTGTGAGTTCTCTGAAGAAGCCGGGAAAGGGTGTGCTCCAGGCCTCTCTCCGTAGCCTGCAGACGGCCATCTTCCCCTCTGTGCCTGTCTGTCTCTACGTCCAGATTGCTCCTTCTTATGAGAACACCAGTCATACTGGTTTAGGGCCATCCTAATGATCAATCTCTAACACAATCACCACTGTAGCAACCCTATTTTCAAATAGAGTCACATTCCAAGATACTGGGTGTTAGGGACGCCAACATATCCTTTTTGGGGGCAGACACAGTTCAACCCATAACAGGTCAAAGACTTTGAAGATGCTTGCAAATTAGGAAAAGGTACATCCAGTTCCCCATTATAATATACATTTGGGATGAGGAAGGCAGCAGGCAAGAATGGAAAATGGGTACTGGTTGGGAGGCTACTGCACCAGTCCAAGCACAAGGTGATGACGGTGTCGATGAGGGCGTTAGAGGCGGAGGTACAGCAAGTGGCCTAAGTTAGGGTATATTTTGCAGGCAGGCAGAGCCCATGAGACTCGTGATGGGGTGTGAAGCAGCAACTCAAAGAGGACTCCAAGACTTTGTCCTGCATATTTGGAAGGGTGGAGTTGCTGCCTCCTGAAATGGGGAAGGGGAATGGGAATGTTTAGGAGGGAGAGCAGGCGTCCATTTTCAGGCTCGTTTTGAGGGGCCAGACATGCACGTGAGGGTTCCAGGACACACGGGGACAGGAGACGCCCTTCCATCCAAGTCAGCCCCTCCTCTTCTCTACAAAGGCATATTCACAGGCAGTGGGATGGGCAAGTTGGTGGCCAGAGTGGGAGCACGGGGGAGGAAACAGCTGGCAAGGGAGATGGAGTTCATGATGGCTGTCATCCGGGAAGCCTTGGAATTGTGCCTCAAGGAATGTAAGTCAAAGGCAGAGACATACAGAGAATGAGTTGGGCGGGACCAGAGGGAGAAGGAGGAGCGTGAGCTGAATGGAAGGTGCTGGAGGCACCTGCCTGGGAGGCTGTGGCTCTGCGAGGAAGAAGGGCTGGCTGCATCTGCATGACTCTAGACCTCACCCCGGCTCTCCCCAGCCGTGCCCCTCGGGTGAACATGGAGCACCCTGCACCCAGCACACGCTCCTACCATCCATGCTCAGGCTTGCTGCTCAGGGGTCTACACACACACCACTGGCTCCATCGGGATCTGGGATTGCCGAGCGGCTGGATGAGCTGGTGGGTCTCCCTGGTGACTGGTTCATCTGGCACTGCTGTCTCCTCCATGTAGGCTTGCAGGTGTATCTTCAGTGACGCATTTCCAAACCCCAAACCAAGCATCAGGCCATAGCCAATCGACATGAGTAGCCAAGGGTCTAGCAAGCATCTGTGGGTTCCTCTCTCCATGCATGCTAGGTGCACCTCCACGAGCACCTGCAGAGCCCTGGAGGGCCCCTCACCGCAGCCTTGCAGGAGCCCCCACTCCCGGGGCTGTGTGGGACTGTCTGTCTTTCAGAACGTGTGTTCCCAGCTGTGTGTCCTGGGCTGCTGCAGAGGACACAACCTGGGGCTTCAAGCAGGAGACTCACTGCCCGCAGCGCTGGAGCTAGAAGCTCAGAACCCAGGTGGCGGCAGAGCTTTCTCTCTCTCTCATCTTCTGGGGTGCAATACACTGAGAGTTTGTGTCCCTCCAAATTACTGTGTTGAAGCCCTCCCCCCTGACAAGGTGATGGCATTAGGAGGGGCTTCGGGAGGGGCTGGTTTCTTGAGGGTGGAGCCTCTTGGGCAGGGTGAGTGCCCTTATGTAACGTCCTCACCCCTTCTACCACGTTAGGGCACTGCGGGAAGATGACACCAGGAAGCAGCCCTCGCCACACGCTGAACCTGTCCTGACCTTGGGCTGCCAGCCTCCAGAACCGTGGGGGATCAATGTCTGCTGCTGATCCGCCACGGAGTCTATTCTCAGAGCCGCCTGAGCAGACTGAGACGGGGTGGTCTCTGGCTCTTTGTGGCATTTCTGGCTTCTATGGAGACAGGCCCTGCAGTCTCTGCCCCCATCAGGACCTGGCTGTCCTCCCTCTGCGTGTCCCACAGTGCTCCCCTCTCAGGTCTGTCCTCTTATTATAAGGACACTCTCATATTGCACTAAGAGCCACCTACCTCACTGTGACCTCATCTTACATGGTTTTTGTTTTTTGTTTGTTTGTTTGTTTTGAGACAGAGTCTTGCTCTGTCACCCAGGCTGAAGTTCAGTGGAACAGTCTCGGCTCACTGCAACCTCCACCTCCCGGGTTCAAGCAATCAATTCTCCTGCCTGAGCCTCCTGAGTAGCTGGGATCACAGGTGACCACCACCATGCCTGGCTAAATTTTGGATTTTTTTTTTTTTGAGACGGAGTCTCGCTCTGTCGCCCAGGCTGGAGTGCAGTGGCCAGATCTCAGCTCACTGCAAGCTCTGCCTCCCGGGTTTATGCCATTCTCCTGCCTCAGCCTCCCGAGTAGCTGGGACTACAGGCGCCCGCCACCTCGCCCGGCTAGTTTTTTGTATTTTTTAATAGAGACGGGGTTTCACCGGGTTAGCCAGGACGGTCTCGATCTCCTGACCTCGTGACCAACCCGTCTCGGCCTCCCAAAGTGCTGGGATTACAGGCTTGAGCCAGCACGCCCGGCCTAATTTTTGGATTTTTAGTAGCGACAGGGTTTCATCATGTTGGCCAGGCTGGTCTCAAACTCCTGACCTCAGGTGATCCACCCACCTTGGCCTCCCAAAGTGCTGGGATTGCAGGTGTGAGCCACCACGCTGGACTTAATTTGCATCTCAATTGTAATTGCAATGACCATATTTATAAATAAGAACACACTGACAGGTCTCAGGGGCTAGGAATTCAGCATATGGATGGTATGAGGAACAATTCATTCCACCGCAACAGGCAAGGTTCTCTGACCCCCTGGGTTGGACAGACCTGCAGTCCTTGCACCTCTGCCCTTCTCATTCCCGATGTCACACCGTCCATGGATAAACCTCCCTGTGGGCCGCAAGCACCTGTCATTTAAGAGTGTACAAATCGGAGGAAGTTCTATGTAGGGCATTGAAGTACTGGGCCTTGTTTCCAGGGGAATGCTAGTGAAGACACGTTCTGGAACTTTCCGAGCACTTAGGATTTGCAGTCAAATGAGCGCCTCATAGTGTTTTCATGTAGAGAAGAGAAAACCAACGCTAAGAAAGTATTGATCTTAAATGCACAGCCACACAAAGAACCCTGCTAGATGCGATGGACTGGTTTCCATGAATGTGCCCTGCGCCCTGTGTGGGCTGACTCATGCCTGGGCACACTGACCTCCACATCCCAACCACAGCACACGCTGACCCACAGAGCCCTTCAACTGAGCCTCACTGAAGCTACCTCCAGACAAGAGAACACCACACAGTCATGAATCATGTTAGCAGAAGAAAAATAAAGTGCAAAGTTGAGGCCAACACATTAAGTTAAAAAGTAGATTAAAAAACAGATTTTACTGAGCCAGGTGTGCGATGTATTCAGAAAAACGTTGGCGGTGGTGACGATATGATGTGGGAAGATGATTGGTGTCCCACCTGCTTTCACATTTCCCAGCACAGGGAGGTGTTTCTCAGAGAGATGAACGTGCTTTT